TCCCTCTGACCAGAGTGGGTTTGAAGTTCCCATCTGAAGCTTGAGGATGGGACACGCTCTCACAAGAGCTTTTACGATACCTGTGAATATCCCTATTCCACATTTGCATTAATCAATACCTTATCAAATTATGAGAACAAGCCAGGATGCACATTTCACTGCAGTTCAGCTAGTCTCTGCAGCACCTGGGCAAGAGATACCTCTGCAGAGCTGGGCTCAGGGAGCCAGAGCAGGAACCCTGACCTGCCCCATGTGCAGAACCGATCTCTCTTCAGAGGCTTTAACCTTTTCGTACTATCACTTAAAACCATACAGTGCCTCATGAATCAAATCAGTATCAGCATGAATTGTCTCAGGCTATTCCAGCACTTGCAACAGTAACACAGACAATAACAATACAGTTTGAGGTGACCAGTTACCAGATGATAAATCTTAGCTCTTTGTGGTAATTTAGGATCTGAACTCAGGCAGAGCTCCTGCTTCAGGATTCTGCTGCTTTTGTCTTGAACTCAGCTGCTGTCAAGCAAAGGAACAAACAAGCCTCTAGGTTTGAGCTCTGGATTACCCTAAGGGTTCCTTGACACAACACTGAATGGCCATCTTGTCTCTCCATCTATCATCATGCACTGGACACATCACACAAACACAGGTGCACTGAGAAGGACTTGGAAGCTCTTCTTACAGGAAACTGCCTTTAACACCCCATCTCCATTAGCAATCATGTTAAAATTATTTCTCTCAGTGGCAATTGAAATTTACCAGCTGGCAGTGTATTTTTTTTTACATACTGTTGAATTACATAGACACAGTAACAACCTCTGAAGCATCTCAGATAGCTGATTTGTAAATGCAATCAAAAATAGTATTTGAGCATCTGCTTCTAATCTTCTGTCATAAAATAAGTGACTATAACTAAGAAAAACAGACTTTCCTGCATTAAAAAGCTAAATCCCTGACAATATACTTGACGGTATATTTACTTATTTTCAGGGGTTTGTACCCTGCTGTAGGTATTATTGAATCAACACTGAACTAGTCCAAAAGTACATTTCCTATTTGCTCTGGATCCCTCTAATGGGAAGAAATATGATTTATGAATGCTTCAAGTGTTCCTGGAGGATGGATGGATGATCTGGAAAGAAAGTGAGTTAAAGCTAAACTCATAAAACAAATGCACAGCCAGAATTTGCTTTCACTTTTCAGAGAAGGTTTTTGGTCTCCAAGCATAAGTTAGTACAAGGTTTCACCAAATGTTTCCCCAGATGATATGTAATACGTGCAAGTGTTTGTGGATGCATTGGTGCACTAAAGAAAACCTGTCTTCAGCTCTTACCCACCTTTTTGGATGTGGTTGCATGTAGCTCTTAGGAGCTGGGAACCAACCCAGCGAGCCTGCAGCAGCTCCGTCACAGCGCAGAATGGCAGCAGGGACACGGCCAACAGACACAAAACCCCAGAAGACAGAACAGTGAGAGGGCATTTCTGTAGCTATTAGGGTCACAAAAAATTGCCCCATGCTTTGCAGAACCTCTCTTTCTAGTTAAGCAAATTTTTCCTCTTAACTATATCTAGACACTATCCTCACCTGCTCCCCACCCTCCTCGGTTTTAAGCAAATGGGAACATTTTAATGGAGAATTCAGAAAACACAAACAATGCAACTGGCAGAGGTCTGACCCTACTGGAGCCCTTGTCTTTGGCTGAGCTTTAGGGGAGCCTTTCACATAGACCTGCTCCACCTGCAGTTCAGGTGGAACAAAAAATCCCAACAAACAAAAAAACCCCCGAAAACACCAAACCAAAAACACAACAACAACAAAACCCGAGAAAGATTCTTTCCTATTGATTTAATATTTTATCCAAAAATGCTCAACAGTTTTAGGCTGTGCTCAGAGATTAAAACTGTCACTAATGTCTCTGGTTTTGGTCACTTCCAAACAACCACCTGAATGAGCCAATAGCAAGAACAGGACCTCAGCTGTGGAACATAACTAACAGAGAAGGTGGAACTGAGCAAACAGGTGATCAGCTTGAGCAAATTCTAAAATGTCACGTTTTCACAGTTACTGTCTACACCATTTCCCTCTCCGTAATTACTGCTGCTTGGGTTACAGTAATGAAGAATCAGCACTCAGGTTTTCTTTTCTTTAAAGAGAACAAAAGAACACTGTTGAAAAGCAAGCCTATTCCATCTACAGGAGATAGAGTAATTCTGGTTCTAAAAAGGACTAATAATGTAGCCAATTCCAGTGTCTTATTTTAGTGTTACTTCACACAGCCATGAGACAGCACCTGACATTTCTAGATGTTTATAAATAAAAAGCAGTGATCATTTCTAGTGAATATAAAGAGGTCAGAAATACTTATGTTGCAATATAAGCACCTACTGCACCTTTCCCATCACTGCCACCTAGCACATCAAAGAAACAGTTTAATGCTACCTTTAAAGATTTGCAAGTGATCCAAATCTGCATTGCACTACATTAACAACTACCTGCTTTACATTCATGTCACTACTTACACATGTAAGTAATTCTCAGCACAAGTACAGAGTCAGAAGGGAAAAAACGCAAGCTCATATACTTTAACAAGTACCAAATAAATGTCTCCAAGTAAACTATTTTGCAGCCAGAAAAAAATGAATTCTAAGAAAAATTATCCAGAGCTAAGAAGGTTTATAGTATCGGGCTCCCATACACTGTCAGGTAACCATCAGCAATCAGGAACTCTGTGTCTACCAGTCATTTTGACAGTGTTCTTTCACAAAGAGTTAAAAGAAAATGCTGCACCCTCCTACACTTGCACAGATGGGAGTGATCATTGACTGATGACCACAAACAACACGCAGCCAGAGCTGCTCTGTGAATGCAAGTTGGGAATATTTGCTCCCTTTTCCTCATTTCATTTTTGAACAGACAACTGGCTCACCTGTCACATATTTACCTTTGCTGGGGAAACACTGGGGAGACTTTTCCGGGGAAAGCAATTGCTTTGAAAAGAGCAGGCACTGGAATGACAGTTATTAGGTTTGGAAAGACAGCATTAAAATGTTCTTGCAGTTAAAGAGGTAGCAATGCAATTGCCTCAGCATTTGACTTGACAGCTTATTTTTAAGGTGAGCATTTCTGTTGCCGTTATTTGAAATCAGTAGTCATTGTCAGAGATCTTAATTTATTTGTAATTGTATAATTAAACTCCAGCGACATTCTAGGAGTAAACTGAAAGCTCCCATGATATTCATTTTGTAATCAGCATTCATGTAATGATTAACAGATGCCAATTTACATCCTGTCTTAGTCAAAATAACTCTTACTTAAACCATTTTTCATATTTGTTCCTAATCCTGCAGGAAGATTTCTAGGATTATGTTACAGCGCTGATTTTAAAGGAGCCAGGTTAAAATTCCATCTTTTAACATTTTCCATTAAAATTCCATCTCTTTTTCTTGCTTTTAACATTATCCAGTAAAACATATTTAATATATGAATCTCCTCTACTTTCCTTCAATCCTTTGTTAGCCTTAGCTAACCCATATTTAAAAGACAGTATCTAAATAAAGTAACGTAGGTGTTCATGCTAATATTTTATCATTGCTATTTCCTTTGCTAGATAAACTTAGCACAGTTAGTGATCGAAGCAAGAAAGCACTTAGTGACTTGGGGGTCCCTTTGTTGTTGTTTTTTTTAAATACCTGATTTGCTTCATCAATAAGTTATTTTCTTTCAAAACTCAGTGATTCCTACATCCCTCTATGAATAGATGATATAATCCCCAAAGCTCACTTAATTGTTAAAACACATATGCTTTACTCAGCCAAGAAAACCTTTAAGGAAAAAGGTTCATTACATTGGTAAGATTAAGAGAGACCAAATCTTTCTGTTCAATACAAAAAACCAGCAGTATTTCTCCCTAGGCTATTTTGCTTCCGGTTACTTTGCTGAAGTAGCAAATGCAGAGAAGTTTTGATTTATTCACATTTATTTCGTCATGTCTTTTATCTGCAAATGCCACAACAGAATTCTTTTAGGTAGCTGTATTAAATCACACACCTAATTATTAGCTGTGTTTCCATTATCCCAAGAAAGACTTCCCTTTTTCCAAGTTGGTACTAATTTACTTTCGAGAGAAAATGAATTAACAATAAGGAAAATTAAAAAAAAATACACAAAGAGAAAAATAATCACAGCTTCACATTCTCTCTGGCTCTGGTAATATACCAAAAGCAAACAAAATTCCTCAATAGAGTATAAAGCATCATTCTGTCTCTGCAGCCTGCATGATTCTTACTGAAGATGAAGACAACACTGAGAATCAGTGCACTGACAGACAACGGTTCCTTTCCCACAGTCTATCAGCTACATACAGTGGCTTTCCTGAAACAGATTTAAACAAGAGTAAACAGGATCTGGAAAACTTGGAAGTTCTCTTACCATCTGACAAGTCAATTAGCCCGAGGTAGTGCAAAAGTTTCAGAGAGGAGCACACCACCACCACAATCCCTAAAGTCTGGAGTCCCTCCGACTCGCCTTTAGTCCACATCCTTTAAGGCACCACAGTTGCCAACTGGTGTTCCTGCAAACAACTGGCAGACATGGAAAGCTGAGATGCTCTGTTTGAAGCTTTTCTTCCTGCTGCTCAGCTAAGTGCACAGCACATTTGCCTCTCTGCCTCTCTCTCTCTTTCTCACACTCCCTGTTTTTCAACCTCTCCCCCTGTTTCTACTTCTCTCCCCTCCCTTGCCTCTTTTTTTTTTTTTAAACATGCAAGTAATTTCTGCATTTATCTGTAATCTCTGGTTTTATTTTCCTTCCCTTCAGGGTAATTCTCTCAAGAGTTTACTCTGCCCCTGAACAACTTCGCACTGTGCTGCAAACCTCAGCAATACCTCACACTTTTTTTTTTTGATAGCTTTGATGCCAGCCAATTGTTGCATTTGGGATTTTCTCAGTAATCTGGCCAATGCAGATGCTTTTTTGTGAATGTCTTTTCTGTACTGCATAAGAGAATATGGCACATTGTAGGGGAGGAAAGGAAAGGTCTTTCCCTTTCTTAACTGCCACCCCGCCCCATGCTGGGAGATACATAAACGCACTTCCCTCATACTTGTGCATACCCACATAGAGTCCAAGACCTACACAGCAATTCTGCCTGTAAGCAACAGAACCTACAACTCTCCAGCCCTCTGGGCTAGCTGCTGGGCGCAAAGACTGCATTTCGCTGGTGTTTAACACATACCCAGACATCAGCGTGGACCAAGGCTGGCCTGGAACACGCATCCTGTGCAGGCAGCTACAGAAGGCAGGTACACTTTACGCTTGTTCACACTTACGTTTCACCAGGCTGCTGGCACAGGGTAGCACTGCGGGTTGCTCTCAAGTGAAGTCAATTATGCTTTTCTCCATTATCACCACAGATGAGAAAACACTTAGCAAGTTGAGTGTTTCATCAGGATGGCAGATGCAAGATTGCAACACCAGTAAAAACTGGATTTTTCAAGCATGCTATTAGCGGAAGATGCTGGTATCCCATGTGGGATGTTCAGGAGAACAGAAAGAGCCAATGCCTTCTATTTTATGAGGCTCGGAGGCTGCTGTTTTCCCCACAATGTTCCCACACTCCCACCACACTCCTGGCAAGCGGCAGGTCCCTTTTCCCACAGTTCCAGATGAGAAGGGCAGGCTGGTTTCACTCCACCACACTGCTCCTGCAACCTCTGCCAATGCTGCCTCTGCTGTAAACTACTGCTGAACAATAACCTCAGCTGCAGAACCTCAGAGGCATTTTCTGTTACCACATTAACCAAGCAATGCACTTGAAGTGCTTAGAGATGCTCTTATTAAAGCTGGGTTGGAGGTGCAGAGTACTCATACATACTTGAGTGATCAAGTCAACAAGTAATTGAAGTCAACACTTGAATTGAATTTGAGCTTTTTGTTTCTGTATGCAAGTGGCCAAGGAAGAGATCACATTGCCAAACGTGTTTTTCATGAGGGTTCTCTGTCATTGGCATCTACCTATCCAGAGCTCAAAGGCATGATACCAAAGCCACTTCTATTGATGAATACTTTAGACCAAGGGATTGTTTGGTACTCTGTAGCATCTGCCACAGTCGGTTTTCATTGCCTTGGCTGTATGACTGGCTATGATGCCACATTATGGTTTGTATTTCCTAGATTCACACATTCAGCTTCAAAACGATCTAGCAACTGAAATCACTGCACTGTCAAATCTCTCCCAGACAAGGAGAGGAGTATTTGAAGGAGAAACATGTAATAAACAGACCTCAAAATATTTAGACAATTTCTTTATCATGTCCTGTTTCCATTAAAAAAACCCCCAACACTACTACCACAAAAAAACCCCCATCCTCAACCAACCAACCAACAAAACCAAGCCACCACATTGAGTGTGGCTGGGCATACTGACCACAAAAATCAGGTTTCTTCCTGTCTACAGAAAAGATGTTTGACAGACATATTGGCTGCCTGGTAGACTTTGCACCATTTTCTCAGGCCCCCAAGTTAATAGATCTTAAAGAGTGCACAGAAGGAAAGAGCCCACCTTAGTCACCTAGTTGTTTCCAGGCACATTATTTACTTGCAGATACATCTAGTCACAGAGTTTCTTCCCAGCATTGCATGAACCTCCTGAATCTACAAATTACTGCAAAAAAAGGAAAACTAAGAAATGCCAAGATGAAAAGCTATGAAACTCAAAAAGCCTGGCCTCCTGGAGGTATGCCTTGCAATTCTACAGTTCTCCCACCATAATGTCCCACCCCTGTGTCTTCTAAAGCCCTGCAGCAGCACCTTAGCAAGAAGCATGGGGAAGGGCATGAAAAACTGGTTGTTCCATTGTTTGTGTTACTGTAAAATTGCCAAGTCTGACATTTTTCATTCTTAAGGTGTTCCTGATACAAGCAACTGCAAAAGAACATTTTATTTCAGGCCCTTGAGCCCTCATTGCATGAAGACCAAACACATGCCAAAAGGTCATGTCCCTTAGACAGTGCAAGTAATGCTGTCAAAGCCAAATCATGATACTTGTGTGGTTGACTCAGTTTTCAAACAGGCTTGAATGCTGAAGGAGAATTTTTCCATTCAGGACCTTCAGGCTGGTCTGGGATCACTCTGAAGCCAGCAGTTCTTCCTGGATGCTGCTGCTTCTCCCTCATTTTCCAAAGCTTCCCTCCTTCCAGCCATTTGGCTCATTCTTCACTTCCTCGTTACTGGCCCAAGAACCAGGATTCCTTATGCTAGGGCTGTGTTGGCATCATGCTGTGCTAACTTTTTATGGAAATTGCTGCTAGCTGCCTGACAGACAAAGCACCAGGGCCCTCCATCATGGATACATCCAGCCATCCCGCTTGGAAGCCACATACTGATCTACTATTACAGCATACAACTATATTAACTAGTCAGCTTTCTGCTGTTATTTAAACATTCAAATCATCAGGATGGACTGACTGGAGAGAGAGCTATGGATGTCTTATGGCTTAAAAGCCTACCCTCCCAGCTTGGCCCATGCAACACTTACTCTTTACTCTAGTATTGAGCTAATGAGAGAAAGGTGAACCAAAGAAAGTCTCCTCAGTTTAGTTCTCCAGAAGATATCTGCACAGAAATAGAGGATCATCAACTCTTAACAAGAGGCAGAACTATTAATCAAGAGTTTATTAGGTATGCCATTTGACTCACTCCTGGAGCACGAAGGAAAAACCCAAACCAATGCCAAATAGTGGGATTCAAAATATTTGAGTTCCACAGAATATTCTACAGCCTGAAAAAGCATTCTGCAGATCTGCAGCAGGTTTTGGATCAATGCTTCCCAAGCATGCATAAATCTCCTGCAAAATACGTACGTACTGTTATTCTCAGAGAGGGTAGCTCAAGGGACTAAATTATTTTAACTATAATCACACATAAAATAAATAGCACAAACTGAAGTGCCTGGGTTTCTACCATAACCACTGCACAAGATATTTTGTAGAACATTTTTCTAGTTATATACAGACAAGGTTAAGCTCACCAGTGAAGCAATAAGCTTTATTTCTCTAAAATCCTAAAACAAAAAAAGGAATGTAAACAGCCAAATGTTTAAAATACCGGTTGTCTTGATAACAGAGACAGATGTTCTTGCTAATGCCTAGCGCACATGCCTCTTGCATGCAGCCAAACAGGTGGAATGCCTCAATTATCTGTGAAAAAGGTTTACGCTGGGTATGCACAATGCGTGCCCTCTGGGAGCATAAGTAGAAACTTTATAAAGATCAATCAAAATAACATGTAATAAAAAGGATTTTCTGGTAATAAAAGAATTGTTATGATGAATTGTATCTATGATTTATATAATCTATAATCAGCTCCAAAAAGTGGTTGGGAGAAAAATACATGATGTGAAGGTGCAAAAATCACTGCAAAATTAAGAATACTGTTCCCCACAGCAGAAGCTTCTCCCAGTGACCAAGCTATCTGGAACGCATTTATCCTCTCAAAGAGGACTTGTCTCCTCGCTTTGTGTCAAAACAAATGCAGCATGACATGTACTCATTACCCACACAGTTAAGAAAACCCCCAGTGATATTCTATGATTAGCCCAGTATAAGACCCTAAATAATAATTTTTTTTATTCTGATTGAATAATCCTTTGCTGTTGTGTTATGATAAAGAATAAAGAGGAACATCTGATTGATTCTTCTTGTATTGTTCATTATTTCAAGTATCTCTAGGACACCTCTTTTTATGGATCTTCTGATACTTTGCAAACCTGAACTACTGTCCATAAATTTATTTTCATTGCAGATCTCTGAAGCATTTCCACTTCTGTAGTATTTTAGAAATGGCATAATGAGATCATTTGCAGTATTGCAGGTGGCTACAGCATCAAAGTATGAAATCACTATTCCATACATATTTATCCAATATGATTTTTTTTGTGCGGGCATAAGTTCATGGGTTTTATTGCTGTTTTGATTTTAAGCAAACCAAAATTAAAACTAGGCCTTTCTCATGAGTTATTTTAACTTACCCAGTCTCAAGCAATAATATTCACTGCTTAAGTTGCAGCTTTCTGTCAGCTTGCTTTGGTCAACAGACATTCATCTGCCCTGTTCACCGCAGGTGGTTAAGCCCCTTTGGCGGTCCTCAGATTTCTCTGGATCTGGCTAGCCCTAAGTAATTTGTGTCATCTGCAAATTGCGTGAAAAGAAAATCACTGATTGATAACCGCTGAGTACAATTAAAAAAAATTATGATATCAGTAAATTAGCAAATCTGATATTTAAGTAATTAGTTGAGGCCCTAAACCATCAAAGTATCAAAGAATCACAGAATCGCTCGGTTGGAAAAGACCTCTGAGATCATCACGTCCAACTGCTCCTGTCTACCCCCTAAACCATATCCCTAAGTACCTCGTCTACCCGCTCTTTAAACACATCCAGGGATGGTGACTCCACCACCTCCCTGGGCAGCCTGTTCCAGCCTCTGACGACCCTCTCAGTAAAGAACTTCCTCCTTATC